TAAAATAGCTGCTTACAGATTAGAAAAAGCTCATACCCCAAAACCAAACCCATTGCTTCAGGTTGATTCTGACTCATAGTGACCCTATAAGAACAGAGTAGAACTGCCCCGTAGGGTTCCCAAGGTTGTAAATCTTTATGGATGCAGACTGTAACATCTCTCTCCAGCAGAGCAGCTGATGGGTTCAAACCACTGATCTTTCAGTTAGCAGCTGACTGCTTCAACCACTGCACCACCAGGACTCCTTAGAAAAGCTTATATGATATAAAAAATAAAACCATTGTCATCAAGTTAATTCTAACTCATGGAGACCCCACATGTTACAGAGTAGAACTGTTACATAGGGTTTTCTTGGCTTTAATCTTTACAGAAGCAGATTGCCAGGGCTTTCTTCCTAGGCACCACTGAGTAGGTTTGAACAGCCATTCTTTTAGGTTTGCGCCACCCAGGGACTTTTTAGGGAGGGCCATGCGAAGTCTAAGCATGATTTCTTTACATGCATTCAACGTGAAAATTTCCAAAAGTGGAATTTTTTACTCTGGGCGCCGATTGTAGGAATGCATCAATGACCCTCACGCTTTGAAATCGAATGGTTGGGGTTCTTATCTTCCCTAACTCTCAGCAGTAGCTAACCCAGTTGACGTCCTTCTTGAAATGTTTCTCTTGGTCTCTGGTACATCATATTCTTCTACCTCACAGGCTGCTCCTTCTCATTCCCCTTTACAGGATCCCCTTTCTTTCCCTGCCTCTAAAGGCTAGGTTTCCCTAAGACTCAGTCTTTGGATCTCATCACTTCTCAAGCTGCACCCATTAAGTGATCTCATCTCCTCCTGTGGATTTAAGCACCATCGTTATGCTAATGACCCTAGAGTGTATCTCCAGGTGAGATCTTCCCTTGAACAATAGATGACAAGTGTCTGTGGCTCACTCGATGTCTCGAATTGGATGTCTTACAGGTATCTCAAGGCTAGTCTAGTTTTCTCCCTAAATTGTCATTCTCTGTTTGCTCCTTCACCCCTTTAGAAGAGCCTACAGGATAGACCTAAGGGGACACCATCCTGGCTCTCTCTTTGTCTATTTTTTATTTGTTTTGGTCTCTGCATTTAATAGTGAAAGCTTTTCTACAAGTGCCTAGTGATCCTTGGCTGTTTACTTAAATTCAAGAGTGGAATGCTGAAAAGCTGATTGGAAGGTTTGTGTACTGGGTGGGGTATGATGACTCTTGGATTCACTGTAGAGTGACCTGAATGAGTATTTCGTTAGCAAAGATTCAAAGTCAATATCTTTCAGTGTTTTCTCCTTCTTTGCTCAGATTCTGCAGAGGGGACTATTCTAGTCTCTTGCTTGGAGGATAGAAGTCTTACTGTCTGTGTTACCACTGAACCCCTTGTTTTCAGGATGTTAAAACCACCCTCAACTGCTTCTGGTATCTCTCAGGCCATATGTCTCATTTCCCCTCACATCTCTAGATAATCTATTGCTAGGATGGAGGAAGGAACATTTGCTTGGCTGTCAGAGACAAGGGAGGGACCTGGAAGTCTACAAATTCCCTAAATTGACTTTGAACCATTCTGCTCTTTAGACCTATACTCCCCCATGTTATGGATTGAATTGTGTCCCCCCCAAAACACATGTTGAAATCCTAATCCCTGTACCTATGAATGTGACCCTGTTTGGAAAGAATTTCACTTTTGTAATGTTAATGAGGTCATACCAGAGTGGGCTTCATTCTAAACTTAAACGCTTCTGAGTGATGTCTTATAAAAAGGGAAAACAGACACTGAGAAACACACACACACAGTGGGGAGAGAGACACCATGTGATGGTCCCTCTATAAGCCAAGGAATGCCAAGAAATGCCCAGGGCTACCTACACGGAAGGACGCTGCCCTACAGCCGATGCCCTGATTTGAACTTTTAGTCTCCAAAATTATGAGAAAACAAATTCCTATTCTTTAAAGCCACTGACTTGTGGTATTTTTGTCATGGTAGCAGTAGGTAATTAAGACACCCTTCTTTCTTAAGGTACCTGGTGCTGCCAAGCCTGGAGTCTTTTGGACATTCTGCGGTATAAAGCAGATAGCTTCTTCAGTTTCTTCACTGCTGGCTTAATATTTAGCTTTCTTGGGTCTATTAAGTAAGTTAGCATTCACCTACCTGCTTTCCAAATTTTTTGCTGCTGTCGACTCTCTTCTATTTCTTATCATTGGGTGTTCATATCTGAGACCCCCCAGTGATCTTCTCCTCCTAGTGTTCATGCCTTTGTACAATACCCTCTCCTTGAGGGTGGTCAGGACCTGTGATTTGCTTCTAATCAATAGAATATGGCTAAATGAGGGGATGTCACTTCTGTGATTTGTTAGTTGTTGGTAGGTGCCATCAAGTTAGTTCCGACTCATTGGGACCCTATGTACAAAAGAACAAAAATTGCCCAGTCCTGTGCCACCCTCACAATCCTTGCTATGTTTAAGCCCATTGTTGCAGCCACCGTGTCAATCCATCTCATTGAAGGTCTTCCTCTTTTTTCACTGATCAAGCATGATGGTCTTCTCCAGGGATTGATCCCTCCTGATAACATGTCCAAAGTAAGTGAGATGAAGTCTCGCTGTCCTAGCTTTTAAGGAGCATTCTGGCTGTACTTCTTCCAAGACAGATTTGTTCATTCCTCTAGCAGTCAATGGTATATCCAATACTCTTCACCAAAACCATAATTCAAATGCATTATCTCTTCTTCAGTCTTCACTTCCATGATTACCTTATATTATATAAGACTCCATCTTACAAGCAGACTGGAGCTAGGGACTCTCTTTGCAGGCTTGATGAGTTAAGTGGCCATATTGGAGAAGGTCATGTGAGAAGGCAGTGTGGGTAGCCTTTAGGATCTGAGAGCAGCCTCCAGCCAACAGTCAGCAAAAAGCCAGGGCTCTCCATTCTACAACTGAAAGGAAACGAATTCTGCCAACAACCTGAATGAGTTTGAAAGCAGATTCTTCCCCAGTCAAGCCTCCAAATGAAGACACAGCCCAGGCAACACCTTGATTTTGGCCTTGTGAGACCCTGAGCAGAGAACTCAGCTGGGCAGTGCCTAGACGCCTTACCCACAGAAGCTGTGAGATAATAAATGTGTGTTGTCTTAAGCCAATAAGTTTGCGGCAATTTCTACACAGCAGAAGAAAATTATTATTGTGTCTTTCTCCTTTTTTTATTATTTTATAGTTGTTTTAGTAGCATTTTGGGTGGAGTTGAGGTTAATATGTGTGTAAATTAGTGAGTTGGACAAATATACATGGTATATGATCAAACACACTTTTATTATTTTTTTGCCTCTCATCATCCTTATAAAATCTATTCAGTATGAAAAGCTTTCCCTTTCCACCAGACATACACTCGAATACGCTCAGATCATAGTAACATTTTGGTCACTTTGAACAGCTGAGATGCTCTCGATGTGGTAATTAGGATGCCTAGTCTCATGTAATAATAAAAAATACAAATGATTTAGCATTAAATTTCCCTGCTCCCTCACCTGGGTCCTGCTTTGGGTTGGCTGCTTGCACTAGCACATCTTTCCTCACTGGTAGACTTTTTTTGCTTAGTTTTTCTCACTCTCCTTCCACCCTACCTTGGGTGCTGAGGTTTCTGACCTCCCTGCCCCCCAGGCTCCAGGGAAGAAACATTTGCCTGATGAGATGGAGTCACGTTTATATGGTGTCAGGGCTCTCTGCACAACAACCTTTTAAAGGAGAGTGCATTCAGGGACTGTAGATCAACAGACAGAACTGTTGACTGTGGGTACACCAAGGTCTGCTCTGGGCCCAGTGACAAGATGAGGCAAGATTGGGAGGAAGCACCCAGAAACACTGATGCCATGAGCACTAGGAACTTTGGAATCATCTGGAATAATAAGTCTTGGCATGGGCATTGCCATTTCCACAACAGGCAGGCATGACAGTGAGGATCCACCAAAGTGAGCCTGGTTCTCCTGGGCAGTACGGACAGTGTGGGGTCACTCAGGTGAGCCAATTGTGATGGAAGTGTAGAAGAGGAATATCGCTCCACAGAGTATCTACTAACCTGCTGCTCTAGATCTCACACAATAGTGGCAATTGCTATACATGTAGACAACTTCCCAAAAGTACCTACAGCGTATGATGAAAGAAAACCAGAGTAGAAGCTGACCACCAAACTCTCCCTTAATTTGTGTCTTACAGAAATAGAATTTTGGGTATGACGACCAATGTAGCTGACCTGAGAAAGATTTCTTAGGATTGTAGGTAATTTTTAAGGCCATCATGGGGCTGAAGAAATGAACTAGGAATCAAAAGTCTGAAAAAGTCCAGATTCCTTGTTACTAGCTTCACAATCTTGGGCAAATCATTTCAGTTCTCTGATTCTCCATTTCCTCATCTCTGCCTCAGGTGTCTCCTGGGATACATCACTTCACTGGATTGGGGACCAGATGAAAATTCTTTGTAAACTGAAAAATACCACACTGTATACGAAATCACATATTATACTTCCTGATAAATGACTACAAAGCTATCTGAAATGAGAGTTTTCATGTTTATTGCTGAAGAACTTTTTAAAGTTAAGTGACTGAACCAAAAAGAAAAAAAAAAAACAGAAAAAGAAAAAAAAATAACATAAAATCCAACTAGAAAAATTGGGCAGAAAAAGCTTTTCTCTAAGAAATTTTCATCAGTGACTTTTTGACACGAAAGTGAACATGGTCCATTAACTTATCTAAGGCTGTTTCCTGACGTTTCCAGATGATTGGCAAACTCACCTGAACAATGCTATTTTATGAAAAAGAAAGCCACATTTTGCAGCAGTGAGAGGCAGGTACAGGTGACATAAACTTCAACAGAATAGATTCTTCTGCACTTATGAAGCAATTTCTCTGAATCAAACCACTTGAAAAATAAATCTTCTTTCCATTTAACTGAAGATAAAGGAGGCAGTGGTGAAGCTTCTGAGACCTCCTTATTTTATTCCCAGACTCCTAAATCAGAAAATCTCATCTAATACTGAGCATAATTTCTTCCCTGACATTTGGCTCTAAATGTCAAGTTGCTTCAAAAATTTTTCCTGATTTTATTGTTCCTGATCTTATTCAGTTGATAAAAATTGAGTTAGAGTGACATCGTTTGAGGAGTCTCTAGTATGAGAAAGCGTGTAAATGCCTGGGAGGAGAAAAAGAGAGTACAAATTATTGCTGCTATGTTGAAATCAAATCTCAGGCCAAAATGTAAATAAGCCTATTCTTATGACAGGAGAGTTTTAGGAAGATGTTATGAAAGGTATAGAATGGGGTTCACCGAAGCTTGCTTTTGTCAGGCATCTCTTATTTGAGATGAGAAGTACCACATTTTTTAGACATTGCCGGAGAAAGGGATAAAGTAGATTCTACACCACAGAATGTTATTTTAGGAAAGAACCTTAGTGATCTCTTTCGTTTTAACTGATGGGGGAACTCTTGTCCAAAAAGTAACCCAGTTGCCATTCAGTCAATTCCGATTCATGGCAACCCATGTGTTACAGAGTAGAACTGCCCCACAGGGTTCTCTTGGCTGTAATCTTTACAGAAGCAGACCACCAGGCCTTTCTTCCACAGAGCTGCTGGCTAAATTCAAACCGCCAACCTTTAGGTTTATAGCTGAAAGCAACCGTTTGCACCACCCAGGGCCCTTCCAAAAAGGTAAAGAGGCTTGTAAAAAGCACACAGGCTGGTTGGTGGCAGTGATAAGGGGACCCAACAGTTCTGGGTGAGTGCATCTTCCAAACACTTGAACTTTACCTGGAATTTAAATAATTTTCATGGGAATCTAAAATGAGTTGCTCATTTCCCTACCCTTATGAGTATATTAACATAATTTGACATGAAATGGGAGTCAGATTCTTAACTTGTAATGCAATGTCTCCTTCTCCCCACCCCCCTTCTCTTCTAGGAATACTAGGACTATTTGTAATGTTTAAACGTTGATCTTCCAGTAGCTGAATATCACAGACTTTAGTAACAGCCAATGTGGGACTGTGCTTGCTCACCTTAGGAAAGCATAGATTTGAAGGTGATTCTCCAGTAAGGACATGATTCATGTTAGTCTAATCACACTCCTTCACCCCAAAGCCTCAATGAGCAATGCCACAGATCTATATATATCATGTCTAACTGGGGAAATGGCGTGGGGGGATAAGTTGTGATGCAGTTCAAGAGTGACACTTGCCGATTTTCATAAGCACCAAATCCCCAAAATTGCTCTATCAGCCTTGAGCACACAATTCAGATGAACTTTGGACACATGGTCAGCTGATACTCTCACACTTCTCAGATTAATTAAAAAAAAAAAAAGTTGGCATTAAATTTTTTTGGTATGATATGTTCATATTCTCTCTGTCCACCTTTTATTACCTTTGGTTTTATTGTAACTTACCTTTGTGTTGTAGTGGGTTGAAAGCCTTTGAGAATTTGGGTTTGGCAGATAAATCCGAAGAGTTTTGCTGCACAAAAGAAAAAACAAGTCATTTTGGACATTTATAGTATTCTTTCAGTGACGGTCTGCATTTCCTTACTTCATGTTGTCGCTAATGATCCTTTATCGCACCTACATAACGCATTAATCTCTTGCAAGAAACTAGAGCAGTCACTTCCTTACTCTTTCTTCTACTTTAATCTATTCAATCCCTAAGAATTTATTTCTAAGTAAATTTTGTGTTTCTGTATGTTTTTACAACTTCTAGCAATAAGCTAGAAAATAGTTTTAAGGGAGATAGTATCCCTTTTTATGTTAATGCTTACATATTTTTGTTTCACATATTCATCTCTAGAAGAGGAACCCCAGGAGAAAAAACAATATTTCTAGTAAAAATGGTCTCCACATAGAGATTTGCCTTACTCTTGCTCATCTTAGCATTCAAATCTCTTCGTGAATAATCCTTTAATCATTGCTGCAGAGACTATACAGAGTTTAAAAATTTAAAAATGAAATTATCAAACAGAAATAAAATATTTAAAACACAGAGCTTGCATTTTGGGGGAAAAATAAGGCATTAAGATGCACCACTGTATCATTTTTCCATTCATAAATTTATTATTCATGTATTCATTAATTTGATATCAAGTATTGAATAATCGTTGTGTGACAGACACTGTAGTAGATATTGAGGATATCAGAAGGAATAAGTTGCATTTCCTGCCACAGTCCATGTCACAAGGAAGCCAAATCAAGATAGGAGGAAAACGTACTTATTACATGCAATAGTTAGCCCAGTGAACGATTCCTAATTTTCACTCTGATGTTGTGAGTATTGGCATGGCTTTAGAAGCAACTGGAATAAGAAGTCTTGGCCCAACACTTTGTTTCTACAGTTGAGAAAGCTGAAACTCAAAGAAACTGACTTTCCTAAGACCCCGCAGCCATTTGGTAACAGTCAGAAATACAGGTCAGATCTGCCGGCTCATGGGCTATTGTTCCCAAATTCACAGCAGTGCTCTCTACTATAAATGCAGATCCAGGAAACGTTTTTAATGTCAGTGCATAATTTCCTCATTGATATTTATTTCAAAAGGTTTTATTGTCCTTTGTAAAATCTCTAAACATCCACGTAGGTTTGGATGCAGTTTTTTCAGTTGACTTGTATCAAACTCAGAAATTTCTGCTTTGGAATGCTTTCTGAAAGGACCTCAGAGTATTGCTGCGGGCATGGGAAGAATCTAAATCAATGTCAAAAATACAAAATATGCAGGTATAAGTTCATTTATTCCTAATTATACTTTCCTCATATGGATTGCACTTCTGTGGCAAAGAATGAAACAGGAATCCTGTATTTTCATATGAACCTGTCAGTTTGTATGTAGACTTAAGACCTAAAATTGCAAGGGATAGAGTACCAGCATAAGAGATAAAATTTAGAGAACGTTTTCTATATTAGACGTTAATCAAGACTTCCCCCCTACTACCTTTCTTGAGAAGAAAACATCGATTACAGAGGGTCCAAGAAGCCAGGCAGAGAAAAGGGTCCTACTGGTTCTAGATTGCAGGAGACAAGTCGCACTGAAGCAAACAATATTGCTCAAAAGTGTTCGTGCACAGTGAGCACCCACAGACCTCTGTGTCTGAGCACCCTTGCAGCTTTCCATGTCTTCACATTCATTCATTCCTTCTCTCACTCACTCAACAACTCTCTATTGAGTATATACCATGGGCCAGGTACTGTGCCAGGTAACAGGAATACAATGGTGAAAAGGGCTTACTCAAAAATGGGCTTGCTGTGGGATTGCATAAAGAGAAAAATGCAAAACTAGAACTTCGTGCATCGGATCCATGGCACTGGGAGATAATTACCTTTGATGGTTTCTTCCAAGAGATTAATGGGGACAACTTGTTCAACAGAAGTTGTCGCAGCTATAAAGACAACAAAGAAATGTTGAGGAGACACATGTATACAATCATACACAGACAAATCAAAAACAAAACTGCATAATTAAAGTTGTTATTTAACAGTAGTATTTCTTATGAGCATTTAATAGACCATAAACATGGCTATCTGATGGAAGGATTCATTTTCTTAGATTTTTTGCCTACAAACAAAACTAGGGTTAAACAAAGAACAACAGTACCAAAAGCCATAATAATTTAGATTCCAGACATTGGTAATTGGCAATAATTGCAAAATTGAAGTTTATCTTTGAAGTGAAGAGTTTCCTAACCATATGCATGGTGCAGACAAGGGAATTATTTAGTTCAATGAAGTATAACAAATTGCTTCTTTGTAAACAGGGCTTGTGCGGTACAACAATTATACTAATTACAAATTATTCGTATCTTCTTATTAAAACAAAGATCCCTTTATATCTATTAGCCAACTGCCTTTATTTCTCTCAACAGAGTTACTCAATGTTTGGGAAAATAATGAAACAAATTTAGTTTGAAGTTTTCTTTTTCTATTATACTTCATCTAAACTGGTTCTTTCATTAAGCATTTTATTTAATGTTAGAGGCTATTTAATATTTCTATAAAACTCTACAGATATAGAAGTGGATATATCTTTCAGCATATTCTAAATAGGTGGATAAATGAACTAAAGGAGCAAAAAGGAATTTACCCCTAAGGAAGATAATTGTTCTTGAATTATTGCCAAACCATAATTTAAGGTATAAAAATTAAAGATAAAAATGTTCCCTTTATTGTGGTGTATAATGTTCACAATACATGTTGTGATTAGTTCTCTATAGCTTTATTATCATTGGTGACTGTTTAGTTCTTTTGGCTCTTGACTGAACCTGCCTTTTGTAAAATTCTAGATTATTATTCCAAAAGTACTCATAGACTAACCCTCTAACTGTATAACTAAGGCCCCAGAACGGAAGGGGAGGGATTTAAAGATGCCTGGGTTGGGGGCGGGGGAAGAGAAATGACTACACATACCTTACTATCCAAGAGTATTCCAAAGCATAAGATGAAAAACCCCTAAAGAAAAAGAAAGAAATTGATCATGTGTATTGTACTTTTTTCCCAGAGAATAACTATTTATATGTAGTACATAATACTTATGTCATCCAACATTAGGCTTGCTTTGTTGTCTGTCTGGCTATTAGACTGTGGCTCCTTGAAGGCACAACTCAAAAGTTTTGTTTCATGTATAAATAAATGATTGAGTGAAAGAAGTTTTAAATGCACGTGGAACTTCATTTCCCTCCCCACTGTGTCATCCCCAACCTGAAGAGAACAGCTTCCATTTGCTTCTGTATCATAGTTTTCTTCAGACCAAGTATTTAATAAACAATTGGTAAGCATTGATGATGGCAGCAGAAACTGAAGTCCAACCCTACTACCACACAGAGGGAGTTGACCTATACAAGCACGCTTTCCATTAAGTACAGAGAACCCTTCACAGAAAACTTTTTAGACGTTAATATCCTCCTTCCAATCAGAGCACCCTCAGTAGGTCCCTCTTTAGACAGCATATCACCATAAGCCTGCCCTCCCACTCCCTGACATCATCCCTATAACTTGTTACCATTAGGTGCATGCGCTCCATGATTGCAATCTCTAACCCTCTGCAGCTGAATCCATTCCTACACATAGTGACCTTATAGGACACAGCAGAACTTCCCCATAGGGTTTCCAAGGCTGTTGCTATGAGTCGGAATCGACTTAGTGGCAACAGGGTTAATCTTTACGGAAGCGGCCTGAGGAGCGGTTGGTGAGTTTGAATAGTTGACCTTTTGGTTAGCAGCCGAGCGCTTAACCACTGTGCTACCAGGAGTTCTACTATACCCTAAGAGTTAACCAGTGCCTGAAGTATATGGGGAACCAGCTGCTTTTAGGAAATACCTATTGAGCATTTACTTTGTGTCAGGCACTCTGCTAAGTGCTAAATTATCTCACTTAATTCTCATATTTACTCTATGATATTATTATTATCATCCCACTTCAACAGAGGAAGTGAGGGGCAGAAAGATTAAGTAATTTGTTAGAGGCCACACACCTGGCAAAGTGATATATTTGAGCCCAGATTTACCTAACTGCAGTACACAAATCACTTCCCTGAGTCTTCATTGTCCAGAGGTGGTCAGACAAGGCCTATATTGAACCAGAGTTGAAAGCTCTTTTCCAGGTTCATCAAAACCTAAGGATTACTTTGTCCACCTACTTTCTGAGCACTCTAGTTGTGACATGTAAAACCCATCCTTTGCAGCAGGGGTTGGTAAACTTTTTCTGTAAAGGGCCAGAAATTAAATATTGTAGGCTTTGCAGGTCATACAGTCTCTGTCATAATTACTCAGCTCTGCCATAGTAAAGCAAAAGAAGCTGTAGACAATATGTAAATGGATGGGCATGGCTGTGTTTCAATAAAACTTTATTTACAAAAACAGGCTGTTGGCCGTACTTTGCCAGCCTCTGCTCTATTGCATTGTAGGGACTGCCTTTGCACCATTCAGAGTCCACAAGCCCTCTTGATTTATTTCCCTTTCTCGGTGTGCTTTTTCACAGAGATTTGCACAAGAAAAAGAGGATTGGTCAGCAGCAAGAGGGATTAATGTCAGTTATGTGAACTCTAATAGTTTAATTTAAAACCCTAGAATGGATTACTGAAGAATTCAAATATTCTGTTTCAGCATTAGGGTAACCATTGGGGAAAAATGCGTTTTTTTTCTTTTCACTTTTTAGTTATAGTCCTGCAGTTTTAGTTATAGTCCTGCTGGAGACAGGGAGATGTATGAGATGACCTTCAGAGTGACCTTAGTAAGCAAAATTCTCCATCGTTAGTCCAATTGCCTGATGAGATAATATCCAAAACCAAACCCATTGCTGTTGAATCGATTCTGACTCATAGCAACCTTACAGGACAGAGTAGAACCGCCCCATAGGGTTTCCAAGGAGCGGCTGGTGGATTTGAGCTGCCAGCCTTTTGGATAGCAGCCAATCTCTTAACCACTGTGCCACCAGAGCTCCAAATCTTATTGTTCTCACCTGGAATGCATTGAGTAAAGCAAAAATAACATGCCAAGCCAGATTCTGACTGTCCGCCATTGTTCCTATGCCAAAGCCCCAGGTGAGCCCCAGCAGAGGTGTCAGGATGAGCAGGCTCTTCCCCATGCGGATGACAGTGGCCTTGTCATCCCGGTTCATTCCTTCTCCAACAGTCGGCCTCCGGAGCTTCGTTAGAACTAACAGCACCACAACCAAATTCACAGCCACAATAGTCAGTGCAGGAATAACAAAAGCCAAGAGAGGTTTGCTCCCATTGGACCAATTAAGCCAACATACATCTTTCCTTATGTAGCCATTGCTAGGTTGTGTGACTGCAATGGTGATGGCAGATATAACAAGAGGACACCCGTAGCCCACGCAGAACCCAAGAGCCATCATCAAAGGCATGGTCATTTGATGGAACACAAGGATGATCCGATAAGCCAGCAGGATACCCAGCATGAGCATCCAAAAAAACAAGGAGAGGTAGAAAAAGTGTGTAAAGAACACTGCAGCTATACAGACTCCAGAAGGGCTTGCTGTGGTATCCACAGTGGCAGCAACAATAAACCAAACATTAGCAATCAGGATGGACAGGGCTATGTTCACCATGCAAATATGACGTGTGTGTGAGGTTTGGTTTTTCTTGACCTGCTTCCAAAACAGAGTCTCAATAATCAGGCATAAGATGAGACTTCCAATGGAGATGGCCAGTCCCACGTAGGTGATCCATTGCACAACGGGGATGACGGCAGTGGGGACAAAGGGTGACATCAGAAAGGAGAAGGAGGTCAGGTGAGTACATCGGCATATCACTGTGTCTGCAGTTTCATTCACTAGGTGGCAGCCCGCACTGTTCCACTGCAAGTGACTGAAATCCCAAAACACACAATGAGGCTGGGTCAGGTTTGACTGTATCTTGGAAAAAATCAGGAAAATTTCACTTATGGAATAGTTGTGGATAATGGTGGATATCACAGGCCCATTGACCTGAGCATTTCCATTTTGGGTGACTGGTAGAATGTTCCCCAGGGTCAATGAGGCCATGCTGATAATAGTTTCTGGAAGGGACTTCTGGAATTGGTCTGACCCAATTAACACATGGCCTCTGATGGTAATGGAGGTATTTTGGGGTAACATTTCAGTCTGATAGTTATAATCCTTCTGGCTTTGGCTTGTGGTCACTGGAATTCCTTTCCAGTTAATGAATTCCCCAGAAAAATTCAGAGGCAGAGCTGTCGGAGGTACCAGGGTGCTAATGTTTTCTAATGTCTCCAGTAACAGTGAGCTGGCATGCTTTTCTTCCTGCAGTAATACTGTCCAATTGGTTATTGATGCTGAATTAAGCACATGGTCAGCTATATTGATGACATCCTGAAATACAAGCATGAAAGTTAGTTTGTATTATGAGTAAACAGATAAGAGGATGAAAAAGTGGATCTTCATTATCATTAAGAATAGGAAAAATGCTCAGAGAATTGACTCTGTTGAGGACCAAATAGAACTCATGAATTAAATTCTGTTCACTTGCTCTGCACAGTAGGAGCTTTAGGTTAAGAAAGGAATTGGCAGAACCAAATAATTACATTGCAGATTTTCCTAGTTATCTAGGGCTGCTGTAACAGAAACACCGCAAGGGACTGGTTTTAATTAACAGAAATTTATTTTCTCACAGTTTATGAGGCTGGAAGTCTGAATTCAAGGCACCGGCTCTTCTGAGAGGCTCTCTCTGCGCACTCTAGGGGAAAATCCTTGTCTGTCAGCTTGCCTGGCACTGTTCTCTGTGTTCCTTGGAGATTTCTACGTGACATCTATCATTCTCCCTTTGCTGCTTGCTTGCTTCTGTGCCTAATCTGCTCTTTTATATCTCAAAAGTGATAGACTTTAAACATACCCTACACTCATATGGCCTCATTAACATAACAAAGAAAACCCTATTCCCAAATAGAATTACATCCACTGGTATGAGGTTTAGGATTTACAACACATATTTTGAAGGGACACAATTCAATGCATAACATAGGGTGATCGCCCCAGGGCATTTGCAAGCAAACTGGAATTTCAGCATGGATAAGAAAGAATCACGCAATTTAGACTGCACAAGTGTGCATTTCCTCCTGAGATGGCAAAAATGACTGCATTATTATGTAGGCTGAGGCTCAAAGATTGAGACGTTTAACTGCTTTCCCGTATTACATTTATTTTGTTTACATCAGAAGTTCTAAATACATGTCATGGACGTTCAAGTTTTAATTCATGTTTATGTATGCTTTGTTGTTTACTAAAAACCAAAAACCAAATCCATTGCCCTCAAGTCAATTCCAACTTATAGCCACCCTATAGGACAGAGTAGAACTGTCCCATAGGGTTTCCAAGACATAAATCTTTACTGAAGCAGACTGCCACATCTTTCTCCCATGGAGTAGTTGAGGAGTTCCAGCTGCCAATCTTTCGGTTAGCAGTCAAGCACTTAACCATTATGCCACCAGGGCTCCTTTGTTGTTTACTAGCGAACATAAAACAAAAATCTTTAAAAACTGAGCCTGAGAAACAAGGAAGTACTGAATTGTTGGGGGTTTTAAGGGTCAGTCTTAGTTTAATGTTCCCTGGGTGAGACAAACAGTTAACATGCTCAAAAGGTTGGAGGTTCAAGTTTACCCAGAGGCACCTCAGAAGAAAGGCCTGGCTATCTATTTCCAAAAAACCAGCCACTGAAAATTCTGCGGAGGACAGTTCTACTCTGACACCCATGGGGTGGCCATGATCGAAAACAACCTGGACTTCAGAGCAATATTTTTTTTTCTTAGTTTAAGATATTCCTTTTCTAAGCAATTCCCATAGAACGCTTTCTCTCTTGCTTATCTCTTGGGTTCCCAGGCATTTGACCTCGGGCCGCTTGCCACTGCAGCCATGTATCATCCTAAGCCAGCTTTCTGTGGCTTCTGGCACAGATTCCAGAATGTGCTTCTTCCATTGCCCCCAGGAACCTCTGCTTTCTTTTAGTTTGTGTTTGCCTGCTCTGTTTTTTGCCCTTCGTTTTATTTTTAGCCTTTTTGTGTCATTTTGTTTTAGTTGGTCTCTTGTAAACAAGATGGGGTCAGATTTTTTTTTTTTTTTAAACAAATCTGAGCATTTTTTCTTTAATCAAGGGAAATT